TTGTACTTGATTGTATGATCCGGTTTCAACATCATTTTTTAAATTTTAACTTTTATTATGGGAATTTTCAAATATATACAAACTAAACAGAATAGCGTTCTGCTTTAACAGTTATTAACTCCTGACCAATCTTGTTTCATCTCTAATGTTATCCTCTTACAAACTTACCACCCATAATTATTTTCAAGGAATTCCTAAATATCATGTCATTTCATTCATTATTTTTCAGGATACTAATTACACAGTGGGTGCCCAGGAAATGTTTGGTAAGACAAAGCTGAATGGGAGAATACATGTGGTAGGGTAGCTCGGAGCAGTGGTTCAGATCAGGACTTTGAGTCAGACTCCCAGTGGGTGTGCTGCTTATCTGGTGATGTGCAGAAGCGATCGGGCTCATCTGTAAAACAGACGGGCACAACCTCAGGGTGCTCAGTAGGTATGCAGTAGTTATACAGACGGGCACAACCTCAGGGTGCTCGGTAGGTATGCAGTAGTTATACAGCACACTGTGGTGGGTCTCTAAAGGTCCTGACTCTTTTAAAGGTGAAAAAGTAATAATTCCTTCATATCATCAAATAACTAGTCAATCTTCAAATTTCCAGCTGCCCCATGAATTTTAAGTTTCCTTAATAGTTTGAAGGTAGAGCACGATAAGGTCCATACATTGTTGATTGGTTGATACGTCTTTTAAGTTTCTCTTCATCCATAGATCCCCCTCCTATTTCTTTGTTTTCTTGGTAGTTTATTTGTTGAAGCAATCAAGTTGTTCTGTAGCATTTCCACAGTTGGTATTGGATTGATTGCATCTCTGCAGTGTAATTTAATGTGTTTCTCTGTCATCTCTGTCAGTTAGTGATTGGATCCAGACAAGGCTTGGTCAGATTTAGGGTACATTCCTCCATCAAGATGCCGTCCTAAGTGGGCTCTGCACTTCTTATCTAGAGGTAACCTGAGGCTCTCTGCCTGTCTGTTTTACAGATGAGCCCGATCGCTTCTGCACATCACCCAGATAAGCAGCAGACCCACTGGGAGTCTGACTCAAAGTCCTGATCTGAACCACTGCTCCCAGCTGCCCTACCACATGTATTCTCCCGTTTAGCTTTGTCTTTAACAAACATTTCCTGGGCACCCACTGTGTAATCAGTAGAGGATTGAGAAATAAATCAGACACATTTTCTGCCCTTACAGAGTAGAAGTATAAGTAGACTCGCAGTGCAGTCTAAAGTGAATACAGCGAGGGTGGCAACAATGGGGGCATGCCCAGCACGGTTTGAAGGGAAAGGCTGGAGGAGGAAACATGTAAGAGAAGCAGGTGCTTGAACTAGTGTTTGAAGGAGGATGAAGGTTGACCAGGAGGTCAGAAAGGAGAGGGACGCCATTTCAAGCAGATGGAACAGCTTAGGCAGAGGCCTGCAGGTGTGCAGTAGCTGGGTGTGTCTGCCAATCCCAGGTGGTTTGATATTGCTCAGGATTGGGCCAGAGGACTGCCATCTCCCATGCTGTGCTAGGGAACTGAGTCTTATTCTCAAGGCGGTCAGTCACTGTTGAAGGAGTTCAAATGGTATGGCATGATCACTGCGTATTTTCAACAAATCTCTCTCTTTTTCCATCTCCATAATTTGAAATAATTATAGATTCACAAGAAGTTGCACAAATGGCACAGAGAAGTCCCAGTACCCTTCATCCAGCTTTCTCCGATGGTTATGTATCTTCATAACTATAGTAAAATATCCAAACCAGGAAATTTGGCATTGGAACAATGTGTATAGAGTTCATTGTCATTTTTTATCACATGTGAAAATTCATATAACCACCACCACAATCAAGATTCAAAACTACGTCATCATCCCAAATATCTCCCTGTGCCACTCCCTTACAGCCACAGCACCCTTTTCCCCAGCATTCATAACTGCTGGCAAGTGCTAATCTAGTCTCCATCTCTAGACTTTTGTCTTTTCAGGAGTGTTATACTCATGGAGTTAAGACAGCGTGTGACTTTTGAGGTTGGCTTTTTTCATAGAATATACTGCCCTCGAGATCCACCCAAGTTGTGGTGTGTTTCAGCCGTTGCTGAGTGGTGTTCCGTGGCACGGGCGTACAGCAGTTAGTTTACCCATGTACCCATTGAAGGACATTCGGGTTGTTTCTAGTTTAGCTATTAAAAATAAAGCTGCTGTGAACATTTGTGTATATATTCTCATGTGGAGTGATTTCTCTGTCTAAAGTGGCATGTGTGCAGTGGTTTGGAGGTCACGGGAATGGCATCTGGGAGAATGCTGCTGCTGTCGCTGGTCCAAGGAGCCATGAGAAGCTGTTACCCAGGCCTCTGGGAGTGGGGGATAGAGAGGGGGAAATAGGCAGGCCTGGGTGCCTGGAAGTGGGGCTGGTGACCGGGATCCTTGCAGGGTCCTGTGGATCCAACAGTGGGTGAGGCGATAACCAAATGCTGGTTGTTCTGTATTGTGGCATACACTGTGGCTTGAGAACTACAGAGGATGGCCCTGAGAGCTGCAAGATTCTCGATTATCAAAGAAAGGTTAAGTTGTTCTACCAAGCTATTCTTCAAAAGAATTACAGTAGGAAAATAGAATAACTTTTAAAATTTTTACTTTCTTTTTTTTTTTTTTTTTGAGACGGGAGTCGCTCTGTCACCCAGGCTGGAGTGCAGTGGTGCGACCTCGGCTCACTGCAAGCTCCGCCTCCCGGGTTCATGCCATTCTCCTGCCTCAGCCTCCTGAGTAGCTGGGACTACAGGTGCCCGCCACCACACCTGGCTAATTTTTTGTAATTTTTTAGTAGAAACAGGGTTTCATCGTGTTAGCCAGGATGGTCTTGATCTCCTGACCTCGTGATCCACCCGCTTTGGCCTCCCAAAGTGCTGGGATTACAGGCATGAGCCACTGCGCCCAGCCAAATTTTTACTATTATTATTATTATTTAACATAGAGATGAAGCCTCACCATGTTGCCCAGGCTGGTCTGGAACTCTTGGGCCTAAGCAATCCTCCTCCCACCTTCGGCCTCCCACAGTGCTGGGATTACAAGTGTGAGCCATCGTGTCCAGCTGGAAAACAGAACAATTTAATGAAAAAAACGTCGGCAGCAAGCATTGAGGGTGATTGTGAGAATCTGCTTTTAATCACAGTAGTCAGTTGATTTAAATATCGCATGTCCTGGGTATTCTGAAGCTTTAGTGTGATTCAAGGTTCGCCTGAGTCTGTGGATCACTGAGTCGTTGTCATCGTTAGAGGAAAAAGTGTTTTGGTAGGGGAAGTCAGCAGGATGAAATGTGCAGGACTGTGTTCTGGTCCTGGCCAGCCTGCGTGCAAATAGCTTCACTTTCTAAAGGGATGTCAGAATGGTGCTTTGGGAGGAACTTAAATATTGTGGTGAAACACACCTAAGTTCAAATCTGGGCCGTGCTGAGAATTTGGACAACTTCCTTATTGCCTCTAAGCCTCAGTTTCCTCATTTGCAGAGCGGGGGATAGTAATATGCCCCTCACTAGTTGTTATAAGGGTTTATAAATGTGTATCTCAGAGCCAGGCCCACTCTCATGCCTCTAGCCTTACCTGCCTCAAGCCCATCTTCCGTACAAGTGTTAAATGATCATTCTGCAGCTTTTCATTTAACATTTTTTGTTTACTCAGTTTTTAAATGTGAAATATGTACATTTGAAAAACAGAATAGAAAGTTATGATGGGAAGAAGGTTTCTCATTTCTCGCTGTTTCTCTACTTGCTAGCCTCGTGTGTGTGCGTGTGTGTGTGCATGTGTGTGTGTGTTTACGTAGCTGGGCATCATGTGTTCTCTTCTTCAACTTGCTGTGTTTCCTTTCTGTATCTTAGACATCTTTCCACATTGGTACCTGAAGTCCTTGCATTCTGTTGAATGGCCTTCTTGTACTTTAGTGCCATAATTTATTCAGTCCATGCACAGTGTACATTTTAGATTAGTTCTAGTTTTTTGCCTGTTACAAGAAGTGTTACAAACATCCTTGCACAAATATGTTTGGATGCTTGTACACATATTTGTCAGATACACTTAGAGAATTGTATTTGCCAGTTTAGGATGTGCATGTAACTTTTACTAGCTATTATCTCTATTCTATCCAAAAAAATGTTTTGCCACTTCACAGCTCTCACTGACGTGTGTGAAAGTGCCTGTTTCCTCATGCGTTGGTTGATACTGTGACAAACCTGAGCTCAGGTCTTGCCTCCTCCTGGAAGCCTCCTTGTAGCGTTCCCTCCCAGTTTGGAGGTGCTCATAGCCTGGGAGGGAGGCAGACCCTACAAAGGCTGTGACAGTGCAGCCTGGCGGGCGCTGCTGAGTGCACAAGTGGCAAGGAGGGAGCCCCGTGCTGGAAGGAGGGAGCCCCGTGCTGGACGGACAGTGGCAGCACAGACTGGGAGCCGGGGGAGGAGCCGGCACCTGCTGGGGTGGGAAGTGGAACAGCGAAGGCAGGGTTGGCTGTATTGCTGATGTGGTTGCATGAAGAATTCTCGCACTTCCCAGTCTGTAAAACTGTTCTCTGAGCCTTTTGTTGAAACATCATCTCAATGGAGTTGACTCACGAACAGCTAAATCACATGCTTTCTCAGGTGGCCCTGAGGTTCTTTCGCTCTCACAAAGCCCACGCTTGACAGAGAAGGTGGCTTTAACAGGTTCTCACTTAGGCGACTTTTTTCTCCTGCCCAATAAGGGCACCTTGTTTTAATTTTATAATTATTTTAAATCTTTTTGTTTATATGTTTTTGAGATGGAGTCTTGCTGTGGCCCAGGCTGGAGTGCAGTGGCATGATCTCGGCTCACTGCAACCTCCGCCTCCCGGTTCAAATGATTTTCCTGCCTCAGCCTCCCGAGTAGCTGGGATTGCAGGCGCACACTACCACACCCGGCTAATTTTTGTATTTTTGGTAGAGATGGGGTTTCACCATGTTGGGCAGGCTGGTCTCAAACTCCTGACCTCAAGTGATTCCCCGCACCTTGGCCTCCCAAAGTGCTGGGATTACAGGTGTGAGCCACCGTGCCCGGACTATTTTAAATCTTGAGATGGAATTATAATTCTAAAACCTAATACGATTGAATATACTCCCCAAATTTAAAGAAGTTAACCTAATATTGTCATAGTCCAAGTATAGGTTGAAAGCAGTTGTAGCAGGGAGAGTTCCAGGGTTGGTCAGCAGGGTTGAGATTGATCTATCAGTCCCAGTGTGGGCAGGGGTCCTGAATGGGGGCTGGCTCTGTGCCGTGAGGTTGTTGAGGAATCCAGCTGGTGGGCAGCTTTCTGTCTACAGCATGTGACTTCCGTCTCTGGGTCTGTGACAGCTGATAGCCAGCAGCAAGGAAGAAAGACAGATTGGAGGGCCAGCAGCTTTCTATAAAGAAAAATAATAAAAGTGATCTGGAAGTTGCGTACATCACTTCTACCCACATCTTATTAGTCAGAACTTGGTCATCTGGCCATACCTGGCTACTGGGAAAGCTGCCAGGCATCGTCTCTATTCGGGCAGCCATTTGTCTAGCAGGAAGGGGGAGGCTTCTCTTATGAAAGCGAGGAAGGGAGGAATGGATCCCCGAGCACCTCAGCACCTGTGCCGCACCTCTGATGCTTTGACAGCTTCCACAGCCCTCAGGACTGAGGCCAGATGGCTCTGCGTGGCTTCTGGGGCCCATAGTGATTTGGCCTCCTTTTCTCTCTCCAGCTTCACTTGCCCTCTACCCAGTCCCTAGTGACTTGTCACATTCTGAATGTGCCTCCACCTCTGCTGCTTCTCCTCCCATTCCCCTAAATCTTGTTCACCCTACCGGGTTTAGGACCCTTGGTGTGCAGGGCCTCTTCCTGAGTGTGTGCTCACTGAGGGCAGGCCACGTGTCCTGGCATAGTGCCTCACCATCCACAGTGGGTGCTCAGCAAACGCTTGGAAGTAACTCTGTCACTGGTGTGTTTGCAGCACAGCAGAGGAACGGCCACCCCCGATAAAGCAGGTGGTAGTGGGTGCCTGCCTTTTTGCTGAGTTGTCTCTAATCCTTTGCACTTGTACCCTTGCTAGCCAAGCTGAGCAGTTGCTGTGTTGGGACACAGTCAGTTTGAGCTCTGTGCCTCTACTGTCCATCTCTGGCAAAAGAGTCTAAGGGCGGATGCCGCCTCCTCCATGAAGCCGTCCTTGTGTTCTGCACCCCTGCCAGTGGGTAGGATCTCTTTTGCCTTTTGATTTTGTTTACATTTTGCATATGGCCCTATATTGTCACGTGTAATATAGATAATGGACTCATTGCTCACACTTCTCCCCCAAAGAGTGCAGTTCGTGCTGCTTCAAGACTGGTTGCTAGCTGACTACGGCATATCTCTTGCGATACTTACCACTTTCGTGCATACAGGCACCCCCTAAACGTTGAGTGGAATTGTTTCAGCCTCTTGCAAACTGTAAATAAGCTAATCTTTAGAAAAGGATCTTCCTGTAGATGTCAGTAAGATGGAGCAGCGTTGTGGGGAATCAGATCAACAAAGGTTTATTGAATGCCCATGCTGCCCCAAAGACCAGCTTCCTGTCCTCCTGTCCTTGGAGTGTGAGATGCCATGAGCAAGACAGACCTGCCTCGCACCTCCTACAGCTTAGGGCACAGTGGGGAGCTCCCGAGTCCCCTTCTCACAGCAGTGTGGCCAGCCTGGGGAGCTCCCGAGTCCCCTTCTCACAGCAGTGTGGCCTAGGCAGGTGTTTCAGCTCACTCAATCCTAGACTGCTCCCAGGTAACCTGGAACTGACACTCCTGCTGTGCAGGTTGTATGAGCACCTGTTTGTCCAGCATCTAAAGCGCTGTGGCATCCCTGGAGTCACTCCCTGGCTGGCTGACACATCTTGGCAGGAGTGGTCAGAGTGGCAGCCACACTGCAGCCACCACCCGGAGGATGGGGAGAAGACCGTGGGGCAGTAGTCACTTGGAGAAATTAATTAGTTTGACTCAGTTCTTTATTTAGACTTGTTATTAATGCATTTATTTCCATGTTTAAGGAAAATCCTAGATATCATTGTGTGGAAATACAAATCATCACCACAAAAATCTCATTGGGTTGACGTTAGATATTAGATACTAGAACATAAAGGCAAGGGATTTGACGGAGCTGTAGAATAAAACTTAAATTCTGTAGTCTTAAACAGTATAGAATGTCTACCTATATGATTTTATTGTTGGCTATCTAGTTTTAAAAGACCAAAATACATAGCTCGCTGACTTTTAAATAAGCGTAACCAGACAAGAGCCTCGGAACCACTTGCTGATTTCTGTTTGCTTATTTTCTGTATAAAATCATCCAGCCTCCTGCAGAGCAGGAATCTCAGCCTGTGCCTCAACCACAGAAAAGCTGCTCTCTGGGCCTGCTGGCCTACACTCAGACGTAGTGAATCAACCTCATAGTGTTGCTGTTATGGACTACAGGTCACAGCAGAGTTCTTCATATACAGATGCCTACCCTGAAGCCTGGTGGTGATGTGGGACTCTGAGGCTGTGCCAGCTGATGCCGACTCTGGGACCCACCTCCTGAGGCAGGAGCACGTGCTTGGGCACACACAGCACACGGATGCCACCAGGCCTCTAGCAGCCTGTCACTGTGGCATATGAATCTCGCTTTTGGGTTCATCGTTTCAACCAGAATCTATACACTGAGCAGAACACTGGTCCGTCTGCTTCCCTCTAGACCTTCTAGAAGTGGTCCTTTTGAAGCAGTGCCCCGTCTCTGGCTGAGACAGCTAGGAGTAAATGGTTCCGCAGCCGGCAAGCTGATGAGAAGCGGAGAGTGATGTCGTGTTTTCGTAGCCAGCAGGAATGCACAGATTCTTTCTCCAGCGGTGCTTATTCTCTCGTCCAACCCCCTGAAGTGTGGTCTTGCTGGACCTCAACATTCCTTCCTTTCATAATGGTCCTGGTGCCGCTAAAATGTCTGCATGTTTTTGTGTCTTGCTCAAGTTCAGAACGTGGTCAGATTGACTTTATCAACTTACAGCCACATTGTCTTATATACCAATAAGTTCCGAACGCTGTAAGTGAGCTAAGTATGTATACTTTCGGTAAGAATGCGTGTTCATTCTGTTTTTCTTTGAAGGAATCTGAAAGTTGCCAGCTCTTCGGAATATTGCATGACACTACATCATGAGCGACGGTAAATGTGACAGTCAGTTTTACAGTGTGCAAGTGGCAGACTCAACCTTCACTGTCCTAAAACGTTACCAGCAGCTGAAACCAATTGGCTCTGGGGCCCAAGGGATTGTTTGGTAAGTATGGTCTGTTTTAATAGCGTGGACTGAGTTTTTGCTGTAATAAAAAGTAAAACTAAAGTGTCAGAATTTAGAAACATTGATGATAAAGAAAAAAAACAAAACTGTGTTATAGGTTTCTGAGCTAAATTGAATCAACTGCTTGCTCTAGTTCTGTGTAGTCAGGCTGTAGGGTACAAACCCATATTCTTAGAACGCTGCAGGAATTTAAATAGGTAGCAGGTTTTCTTTTTTGTTTGTTTCTTTTTTCTTTCATTTTTTTTTTTCATTTCTCCTGTCATCGTGATATCAGAGTAATAGGTATGGCAGTGAGTTGTAACAGAAATTTGGAGTTCTATTCATTTCTTCATCATGGCCACCTTCTCCCCCCCTCCCCCTTTTATTCCCAATCACTCCTATTCATTTCTAGGCGCCATCATTGCAGTGCCTTGCCATTCACTGGCAGGATGAGGCCAGTCAGTGTCATTGTCACTCCATGGATTAACCAGGAAGGGATGCTGTGTGAGGGGTTGGGCTGGCCGTCTCTTCCTTGGTGTCTCACTTCAACTGTGTGTCCAGCCCAGAACGTCAGAATCGTTAGTCTGACCCTGAACATTAGTCTCTTGCATGGTAAGACGGTCAGCCGCCGCGGCGTCACGGGCCAGCTCAAGGTAAAGCTCTTCACATGTTTCCTAGACTGCAGTTATCAGCACTTCCCACACTTTTTACCCCTTGTTCTTCTGGGCAGAACTTTTTCTTTTTTTTTCTTTCCTTTTTTTTTCTCTCTTTTTTTTTTGGGGGGGGTCAATGAAAATAGGATTACCTTTGCGCCTAAAGAAACTGATGAAGTTAAACATCTAATGTTTACAGCTAGTAGACAGAGGGGATTTGAGATAGAAGAAAACTCTTTTGGATGGTCTAGTAGGGGGGTTTACATTTACTTGTAGAGATGTTGGGTTTGGAGAATCTTTACCAATGATTTTTAACTGATCCTCTGTTGTAGAGACCTATGATCAGGGAAACAGTTGTTTTTTCGGCCCTGGCGGCTGCAGGCCCTGGGAGCTAAGACGAAATTGCAGTCCAGAGCTTCTTTGAGAAACTAAGGTGGGAGAAGGGACTGTTTGGAAGGAATGCCCAGCTTGCATCTAAAGTAATGGTGATCCTAACTTCCCAGTGCCACAAACTGTTTTGGCACTTAAATCTGGTGAGCCAGAAGAAGTTTTAAAGTTGGCCAGGCGCAGTGGCTCATGCCTGTAATCCCAGTGCTTTGGGAGGCCAAGGTGGGCAGATCACAAGGTCAAGAGATTGAGACCATCCTGGCCAACATGGTGAAACCCTATCTCTACTAAAAATGTAGAAATTAGCCAGGTATGGTGGCGCACACCTGTAGTCCCAGCTACTCGGGAGGCTGAAGCAGGAGAATCATTTGAACCTGGGTGGCAGAGGTTGTAGTGAGCCAAGATCACGCCACTGCACTCCAGCCTGGGGGACAGAGCGAGACTCCATCTCAAAAAAAACAAAAAAGTTTTAAAGTCAATAGATGATGGTTCAAATTAGGAAACTTTGATGGTAATGGAAAGTTGTAAACAACAAAACATTCTTTTGATTTATAATCCATCTCCTATTTAGAATTAGATGATAATTTGACAGATAATTTGATGTTTGCACATGAGAGAGAGAGAAAAAGGAGAGAGGGAGCAAGAAGGGAGAAATATCAGAGGTCTTGGGGAGTTTGTGGCTATAGACAGGTAGCTGTTTTATTTTTTTATTTTTTATATATATATATATATTTTTTTTTTTGAGACAGAGTCTCACTTTGTCACCAGGCTGGGGTGCAGTGGCGCAATCTTGGCTCACTGCAGCCTCCGCCTCCCAGGTTCATGCAGTTCTCCTGCCTCAGCCGCGCCACCACACCCAGCTAAGTTTTGTATTTTTAGTAGAGACAGTGTTTCACCATGTTGGCCAGGATGGTCTCAATCTCTTGACCTTGTGATCCACCCGCCTCGGTCTCCCAAAGTGCAGGGATTATAGGCGTGAGCCACTGCACCCGATCTACAGGTAGCTGTTTTAAATATGTGCTTCATTTATCCCAGCTGGCATGTCATTCACTTGCTTTTGAAGGTTGGTAGTAGTGTGAATAGTATATAGTATACAATCACCATGAGCTCTACCATAACCCTCACTGGTGGTGAAACGAAGGACTGGGAAGGCTCACTTGCTTCTCCCATCTCACAGAGTGTTAGTGGGAGGCCTGGGACCAAAACAAGCTGTGGGCCTTTGGGACCTGATTGCTGTGCCATGGAGGGACTTGTTGAAGACTTTGAACCACTGATACTTTGACAGGACAAGTCCTCTGACCCAACCTCTGTTTAGAATCTTAGCAATAATGAACAAATATTCACTAAACACCTATGAAATAATTTTTAGTTAATTGTATTTATCTGTATAAGACAATTGTTATATTCAAGAACAGTTTCAATTTTTATAACTATAACTGGCTTTGTGTTTTATGGTGTCCTTCTATCTTATGTTCTAATAGGGAAAGTAAACACTTTGTAAGTGATTTTAGCTTCCTTTCCCCCTTTCTTTTTCTCTCTATTCTTCACCAGGCTCTGAGGCACCAAGTAGAATTGGGAAATAATCTAGTTATAGCACATTCCCGTTTCAAAAAAGAAAAAAAAGCTTTTCCTAAAATAAGCTCAACAGTAGATTAGCTGACACTTTGACAAGAGGAATTGGATTTTCTATCATATTTCATATTAAAATATTGGCACTATATAGTTAACTGATGATCTGAAACTTCCTTTTGTCACTATTGTACTTGAAAATCATCTGTCAATGATTCTTTGGGGGGTGTAGCCTGCAGAATAATGGCCCCGCCTGAGCTGTCCACATCCTAATATCTGGAATTTGTATGTTTCTTTACATGGCAAAAGGAATTTAGCAGGTGTGATTAAATTAATAGTCTTGAGATGGGAGGGTTATTCCAGGTTTAGCTGGGTGGGTCCTTCTTACAAAAGGGAGACAGGAGGGTCATAGTCAGAGATGTGATGACAGCGAAGTTTGGAGTGATGTGGGGTCACAGCCGAACAGTACAGGAAGCCTCCCCCAAGCTGAGGGAGGCGGGGAGCAGAGTCCCCCCGAGCCTGCAGAAGGAACCACGCAGCCCTGCTTGCCTCTTGACGCATAAGATGCATTTTGGACTTCTGACCTCCAGAACTGTAAGATAGTAAATTTGTGTTGCTTTAAAGCAGTAAATTTGTGGTTATTTGTTACAATAGCAATAGGAAACTGATTCACGAGCATGTGTATTTTTACATTTTTGAGAAATATAATAGCAGCAGTGTATGGTTTATGCAACTAGCTAATCTTCTATTTAAATTAGAGCTTTATGAAGGGCAGGTGTGCAGATAAACCAAAGTGCAGGTAGGGCCTGTGACCTGTACAGGATTAAATAGAAGAGCTGGAACCAGAAGAAAATATTCTGGTTCCTCATTTTGAATTGTTTTTATAGTTGTCTTTGATTTATTTCTTTGTTTTCGTTCTTTTAAAAATGTTAGTAAAATTTATTAGGAAATAAGTTTTTACAGTTGAAAATAAGTTTAGTTTATTTTATTTTTGAGACGGAGTCTTGCTCTGTCACCAGGCTGGAGTGCAGTGGCATGATCTCGAATCACTGCAGTCTCCACCTCCCGGGTTTAAGTGTTTCTCCTGCCTCAGCCTCCTGAGTAGCTGGGACTACAGGCGCCCGCGGCCACACCCGGCTAATTTTTTGTATTTTAGTAGAGACGGGATTTCACCATGTTGGCCAGGATGGTCTCGATCTCTTGACCTTGTGATCCACCCACCTTGGCCTCCCAAAATGCCGGGATTGCAGGCATGAGCCACTGTGCCTGGTCTAAAATAAGTTTTAAAATGTAATTTTGAAGTATTCATAAATATCAACTGTATTATAGTACAATTAAGTAATCGTAAGATTTCGAAGCTCTAGTGGGGAAGATGTGTGTACGTTTCTTTCATACATATATTCAGTTTTTCTTTCTCTTTCAAAAATCTCAAGTTGTTTGGCCAAAATAGTAAAGATTATTTGTTTTATGAAACCGTTCCATGAAATGTTTAACCTTTAAAAAAGTGTTTAATATTAAGTCTGGCAGTACTTAGAAGCGACAGTTACAGCCTTAACGTGAAATAATTGGTATAGTGTATTCCTTTTTGTTTCCTCAAGTTCTGTACAAACATGAGTACTGGCCTGTTCTTAACATGGTTTTCTTTTCTTTTTTTTTTTTTTTGAAATGGAGTCTCACTCTGTCACCCAGGCTAGAGTGCAGTGGCGCGATCTCAGCTCACTGCAAGCTCCGCCTCCTGGGTTCCCGCCATTCTCCTGCCTCAGCCTCCCGAGTAGCTGGGACTACAGGCGCCCACCACCACGCCTGGCTAATTTTTTGTATTTTTAGTAGAGACGGTGTTTCACCATGTTAGCCAGGATGGTCTCAATCTCCTGACCTTGTGATCCGCCTGCCTCAGCCTCCCAAAGTGCTGGGATTACAGGCGTGAGCCACCGCGCCTGGCCTTATTTTCTATTAATATGAATACATAAAAACATAACAATGTTCACAACAAAATTTCTGTGATAAAGGAGACATATGGGATGAGGCCTAGGATGGCTGTGATTTGGGAGACGAGTTCTGAGTCCTGCTCTCTTCCTCACAGCAAGAGTTCGTTATGACCAGGGCAGATCAGTTTCTTTATGGGCCCTAATATTTCACCTGTAAAATGAGTGGTTTGGAACTTCTCATTTAAGATGGTGGCCCAAACACCTGTACAAAGATAAGAGGGCAGTAATGAGTGGAAGAGAGTTTTAACAAATTGATGAAATAGAGAAAGTAGCTTGAATCTTGTGATACAGATAAAACAGCAGATAAAGTGAGAATAAGTAGCTGAAGTATTTGCGTTAAGGAAGAGAATCTACCTATAGTAAAACTCTACGGGGGCTGTGGGCATAGAGATGACAGTCAAGA